TGGCACATAATCAAGAGAGGAAAATGAAGTTAAAGTTATTGAGTTCTAAAGTTCTTGAAATGTTTAGAATAGAGCTAAAGGTATCAATTAATATTAGACTGTGATTAGTCAAGAATGTATATTACAGATCCCCAGGGTGACCACAGGTTGATTTAAACAAGAAAATGAGGGGTGCCTGGGTGACTCAGTTGGATGAGCATCTGACTTCAGCTTAGGTCATGACCTCAGGGTCCTGGGATTGAGCCCTGTGGGCTCCCCGCTCGGTGGGGAGTCTACTTCTACCCCTCCTTCTGGCCGTCCCCCCCAAGCTCGCTCACTCTTTTTCTAGAATAAATAAAATCTTTAATAATTAAAAAACAAAACAAAACAGGAAGATGAGTACATTGAGCACAACTAGTAACCACAGTATCAAATACATAAGGCAAAAATTGGAAAGGAAAATAAAAATTGTTTTTATTTGTAGATGACATGATCATTACTGTATATTGAAAATCCATAGTGTTCTGCTAAAAACAACTATTGTAACAAGTAAATTTAGAAAGTTTGAGATCAAGCCAATATTTTAAAAAGCCATTATATCATATGAGAAATGAAATAAAATTTATAAATGTATAATAAAATTCTAAATCATGCCATTTACAATAGTATCAAAAACATAAAATACAGGGGTGCCTGGGTGGCTCAGTGGGTTAAAGCCTCTGCCTTCGGCTCGGGTCATGATCCCAGGGTTCTGGGATCAAGCCCCACGTCGGGCTCTCTGCTCGATGGGGAGCCTGCTTCCCCTCATCTCTCTCTGCCTACCTCTCTGCCTACTTGTGATCTCTGTCTGTCAAATAAATAAAATCTTAAAAAAAAAAACATAAAATATTTGAGGATAACATATGTGCATATTCTATAACCTATGCTATGAAAACTACAATTCACTACAAAAAAAAATTTAAGATGACCTAAATAAATGGAGAAATATGACATATCACCAACCAAAAGACTGAATAATGCGAAGATGTCAATTTTCCTCAAGATGATCTACAAATTCAATACATCCCAAACAAAATTCTCAGAGGCAACTATCCTTTAAAAATTAACAAGCTAATTCTAACATTTACAGGGAAATGCAAAGGACCTCAAAAAGCCAAAACAGTTTTCAGAAAGAGCAAAGCTATAAGATTTATCTGATTTCAAGAGTTACTGTAAAATTACAGTAATCAAGTCAGTTTGGTATTGGCCTAAGGGCAACACAAAGATCAATGCAATGGAATGAAAAGCCCAGGGAAAGACCATGCATGCTTTTGACAAGGAGGTGGAAGTAATTCTGCAGAAAGGACAGTTTTTTCTATAAAAGGAAAAAATCTTTGTTAGCGTGGGATAGGCAATATTTTTTGGATAGAACGCTAAGGACATGAACCACAAAAGAAAAAACTGATGAACTGAAGTTCATCAAAATAACGAATTTTGCTTTACAAAAGAAAACATTAAGACAGTGCTCGCTTCGGCAGCACATATACTAAAACTGGAACAATACAGAGAAGATTAGTATGGCCCCTGCACAAGGATGACAAGCAAATTCATGAAGTGTTCCATATTTTGGGGAGGGTGGGCTATGAATTCAAGCCCTTCATTGGGTACAGAAATTCCTTAAAAATAAAAATATTTTAAAAAGAAAAAGAAAACATTAAGATAATTAAAAAGCAAGGTTTGGGGGGAAAACCATATATATGACAACTTGCATCCAAAGTATATAAAGAAAACCTCAGTATCAAGAAGAGCAAGGGATGGGTCAAAAAAAAAAAAAGGCAAAAAAATTTAACAGATACTTAAAAGAAGAATGGCCAATCTTCCCACTAATCTTAGGAAAACATAAATTCATTCCACAAGGAGATATCACTATACTCATTAGAATGGCTAAAATTTAAAGAAATGACAATACCAAGAGTTAGTGTCTATGCTGAATGATGGCATTCTCATCAGCTGCAAGAGGAAGTGGGAAATAACACAACAGCATTAGGAGACAGTTTGGCAGTTTCTTATAAAGTTAAATATGCATTTATCACAGAAAAGAGTAATTCTATACCTAAAGTATTTGCAGAAGAAAAATTAAGGGGCGCCTGGGTGGCTCAGTGGGTTAAGCCTCTGCCTTCGGCCTGGGTCGTGATCTCAGGGTCCTGGGATTGAGTCCCGCATCGGGCTCTCTGCTCAGCGGGGAGCCTGCTTTCCTCTCCCCCCCCACCCCCCCGCCTGCCTCTCTGCCTACTTGTGACCTCTGTCTGTTAAATAAATAAAATCTTTATTTATTTTTTTAATAAGTAAAATCTTTAAAAAAAATTAAGACACCAAATCCACACAACACTTGCACATGAATATTATAGAAGCTTTATTCATAAAAGGCAAAAACTCGAACAACCCAAAGGTCCATTTTACAGTTGAATAAACAAACTAAAGTACATGCAAACAACACAATACTAATCAACAATAAACAATGAACTACACCTACATGCAACAAACTGAAAAAAAAAAAAAAAACCACCTCTCAAAAACATTACTCCCTGAAATAAGCCAGATACGAAAGGACATATATACTATGATTCCACTTACATGAAGGATCTAGAACAGTCAAATTCACAAAGACTCAGAGAATAGTGGTTACCAAAGACTCTGAGGGAGGGAAGAGTGAGGAGTATATTTTTGGCAACTTTGCAACTTTAACTATTTCTTGTGCTCTTGTGGAGATGATTGCACAACAGTATGAATGTACTTAATACCACTGAACTGTACACCTAAAAATGGTTAAGATGATAAGTTTTATGTTATGTATATTTTACCACACACACAAAATCATTTTGCTGAGGGAAAAAAGTCAGATAGAAGAGGATACATACTATATGGCCATTTACATGGCATGTCAGAACATGTAAAACTAAGCAATAATGACAGAAATCACATGAACGGCTATCTGGGGTGGAGAAGAGAAGAAGGAACTGACTGTAAAAGATCTCAAAAGAACTTTTTAAAGTGACTTTACATTTGCCAAAACTCACTGAAATATACACTTAAACTACATACATATTTTTAAAAAATGCATACATGCTATTTTATGCAAATTGCACCTCCATATATTTTCAAATAAATAAATAACCTTGAGGAGGGAATGAAACGCAGCAGAGTAGAAAATAAAACTACAGACTCTTTCTAGGAATGAAGTTATGTTGTGGTATACAGAGAAGGTAGTAGCTGGAAGGAAATATGTGGTTTGAGGAGTATTTCTCAAGATGAAAGAGAAATGACTATATTTAATGCCAATAGGAAACTAGTTATTTGAAACCAGGGTGAAAATCCAGAGGTAAAAGAACATAAAGGCTACATGTGCTTAGTTGCCAGTGTTTGAGCCATATGGAATTTTGTTCTACATTTCCCCACTTCAATAAAAACGAGTTCTGTAAAGAAAAAAAAAAAAAAAAAAGTGAAGAAAATGCTTTGGCAAGTACCAGCAGAAAAAAGTAGACTGAAATATCCAACAGAAGAAACCTAGCAAACTCAAGGAAAGAAGAGCACATTATTCCCACATATCTGTATATTAATAGTAAATACAATAATGGAGTTTCTAGCAATATTAGCAAATCTATATTAATCCTAACCTTATAGTAACACCCTGAATCTCTTCCTAGAAAGCAGAAGGCTGCTGAAGCCAAAACAACATGCTCTACTATTTCAGGTATCCTCCAAGCTTTGCAACTGAAATAAAACGGATCACTTAGAACAATAATGGCAATTCAGGACCGTTAGTAGATGAATTCAAACTAATGGTAATAGCTTTTCAAAGCCATCAAGCATACATAAGGATATCCATACCATCTATGTGGTAAAAAGCCTTGGGAGAAGATCATCTGCAAGTACGGGGAGTAACAAATGTTTTCCCAGTACAAAAAACAGTATTTGAAGGGAATGAAAACTCTACTTCAGAGACTAGAACAGCCAAAGAATTCTAGTGAAATTGAAATTACTGCTTCTCTCAGGTGGCATATCAAATTCAGACTAAGGCATGTACTTGGAAATAGTCATACCCTGTATCCTAGCCCCAAAAACATCATTGTTGTCATTTCTATAACTGTAATTCTATGACTTAGTAAGGCAATTTTTTAACCTCAGTCTTTTTATAAAAGCCTCTACAAACATTATTTTAAGGCCTGGACATGAAATACATTTTGAAACACTTCACATAGCTATTTTTAATTAAAAATAAAGAAAGAAGGAAAATACCTACTATTACCAAACATGGAATTTAATGACAAAAACCAGTACCATTTTAATCAACTTTTAGGTATGGCTTTTCCTTAAATTTGAGTTTTACAATTTATATTAATATATTCTACTGCAGACATCTTCATTTCTTAAGTAATTTAAGACCACCAAACTGGATGTGTATATTACAAAAAAAAAAAAAATTACTCCAAGACATATGCTTCATACACATCATTAATAAACTGGAATAGTACAACCAAATAGCTATGAACTATTATTCTCAAAATTCCAAATCCCTTATTTTGAATCCTGAAAGCATTGGTAGCTAACAAAACGACAATAGCTATTCTTGTGATGGACTATAGTAAAATGAATGCTCACTTCTGTTCGGATCTACAACAAAACCAAAGGTAATTGCTGTGACGCTCATTACAACGTATCAACCTCCATCGACAGCAGAATTAAGTTTCTGTATTTTCCCTTTTGATAGAGGACGGCTGCAAATACATGCACCTAATAATTTGGGAAATTAAATAAACAAGAAAATGTAAATTGGGAAGTGGTCTGTTCTGGTCTTTCTTTCTTACTTTTTTTCTACTTTCTTTTTTTGGGGCCACAAATAGGCCACAAAAAATTTTTTTTTTCTAAATATCTCTGCTTCCATAAGATCAATGATACATGACATCAAAACACAATAATTTCTATTTTCAAAAAGAGTTGTCTCTTTTATACAATAATACATTTCATATAAGATTTTATCTTACCTGGCCAATTCTTTAATTAAATTTGCAATGCGTCTTTTGTCTTCAAGACACAAATCCTTCAACGACGCACTCTTTAGTCCTCCCCTGCAGAAATTCTAATACAAAACAAAAAAAATCTTTTGGTTAACTTTTGGTAAAAGCAATTTTTAGGACTTTTTGAGAAATCTCTTAAAATTAGCACAGGAGGTAAAATTTCTCAGGTATCTTTTCTCTGGTGGTATGTTCTTTTTTTTTTTTTTTTAAGATTTTATTTATTTATTTGAGAACGAGAGACAATGATAGTGAGATAGAACACGAGTTGGGAGGACAGGAAAAGCAGACTCCCGTTGGGCAGGGAGCCTGATGCAGGGCTCCATTGCAGGACCCTGGGATCATGACCTGAGCCAAAAGTAGATGCTTAACTGACCGAACAACCTAGGTGCCCTGGTACACGCTTTATGTTTCATTCAAACCTATTATGAATTCAAAACAGGCTAAGGAACTGTCTTGTCCAGAGGGGACATTATAAAATTTACATAGAGAAATTTATATAGAGAAGATCACAAAAGGCTTAAATATTAGGGATGATTAAGGAAACAACTTTCCCTTGGTGAATGTCACAAAACCTAATGGAAGATACTGAGAACTTTTCCTACACTACAGCCCACAGGCTGCTTAAGAGTACACTAAGGTTGACAGCAAAGGCACCAGTTTCTAAGTTCTCAATATATCCTAAAGTTCATTCCAACAGGTACTAGACCAAAGAGTAATAATAATAGCTAACACATATCTCATATTTACTGCATGTGAGGAACATTGTAAGTACTTTACAGTTACTAATCCAGCTCATTTGCACAACAGTGCTATGAATTAGGTATTATTTCTATTTATGGTGAGGGGACACCTTGCCTTGGATAACATTTAAAGCAGCAGACCCAACACCTGAGCACACATCCAGAGTATGTGCTGTCAACCACTGAACTATTTCTTGTGCTCTAAAAAGTTCTCCCAGTACTTGAATTTCATTAAGAGGATCTTTAAAGCACTGAAACTAAGCGAGTCACAGAGAAACTAGAGGTAACATGTAAACAGAAGGAACCCTAGGCATTTGTACAAGTAGGTTAGTCCAATTTCTTCAGGTTGCCAAGAACAATCCAAGACTTCTAAAATGGATCCTGGAAATACTGATAGCCATAGATGGGAAATATGGGGAGAAAAAGGCAATAGGAAAAAGGAGAGGGTAAGAAAATGAGTTTGGCTTTGGATATGGTCAACTTAAGATGCTAGGATGAAAGTCATATGGAAATGTTAGGCAGGAAATTGGAAATGTGGGTCTGGCTCTTAAGTCAGAGAAAAACATAAAGATGTAATCCATAATACCATAGGGCTTATGGTATTATGGACGATATTTAGATTTTTATTATTTTCTTTATACTTTTCTATGTTTTAGGTTTTTCCTTAACATTAAAAACTATCAGTTTTTAAAAATCTTCTATGAATCCAAGATAATAAATTAAAGAATGAAAGAGAATCAGAAGGATATAATATGGTGGGAGAAAATATGTTTTGAGAAGAGTATGGGGTTAATGATGCTAATGATCAAAAAAGTTACACAGAATGTGGAAAGAAGCCACTCTATCTGGCAATGGGAAAAGTTGCTGAAAACACTTGAGAAGGCATCTTAGTGATGCAGTGAGTAAAAGAACAAAAAAGAGAAACCCTTACACATGGGGAAGGATATCAGCAGCATTGTATTTAACAGAACAGCCCATTTTCAATACAATTTGTATTGAAAATACAAATGTTTGTCAATTAGAGAATAAACTGTAGCATATTTAGACAATGGAATTCTGTAGGTACTGGTTGTTAAGCTACTTATTGACTTTCATCTTCAAACCCACCCTTCTGAGACCTCCTTTGTGGTGCTGGGCCTCAGACTCTAGAAACCCCGTATCTCCTTTGCCAGATGGCTCTGTTAAAACCCATCAATAGGAAGAACTAGAGGGAGACCACAGGTGGCTGGAAAAAGAAGAAAAGACACAGTCCTTCCTATTTACATCTCATTCCCACTAGTGTCACCCCTGCCAGAGTGTGTCCTGGCAAGGACAGCAGATTCCAGTTTGCAATTTTCCCAGCCCTGGCAGAACCAGCCTTTACCATGTCTCCTCGCAGTCAGCAATATCAGTTGGGCTGGGTCCCCATCATCAGAAGCTCATGTTCCAGCTCTAAAGGGGCCCTCCCCCAAGCTTCTAAGTTTTAATAAATCCAACTTGCTCTGGCTGTTTTCCAAGCCCTAGAGATGGGAATTATTTTTTGCAGTTACTACCTACATGATATGTTGGTGTTCTGTTTACCTTCTCAGATCTCCAGCACAATTTTAGCAAGTCTTTATATAAAATACTCTCAGTGAAAAAAAAGTGACTAGACTCTGGCTGAAATATAAGTGAAAAGAAATAACGTACAGTGGGGTATCTAGTAGCTTAGTCGGTTAAGTGCCTGGCTCTTGGTTTGGGCTCAGGTCATGATCTCATGGGTCATGAGATGGCTCCCTGTTAGGCTCCATGCTCAGCAGGGAGTCTGCTTGAAGATTCTCTCCCTTTGTTCCTCCCGCAACTCTCTCTCTTTCAAATAAACAAATAAATCTTAAAAAAAAGGAATGATATATAGCTATATACAACGTAGGTAAATCCCATGAATACAACATTGAGCAAAAAAAGCAAACGATGCAATACACATAGTATGAGCTTATTTATGTAAAGTTCCAAATATACATAACACTGAACACTGAACATTGTTTAAAAAACAATTATGTATTTAGACTATGTAGGGCAAGGGTTGGTAAACTGTAGCTGCAAGCCAAATCTGGCTCAGTGGCTATTTTTGTAAATAAGGGTTTATTAAAACACAGCCATGTACATTCATGTACAAACTGACATATATATACATATACATATGTATGTATATATATATAGTTCTTCATACTACAGTGTCAGAGTCGAGTAACTGAGACAGAGGCCACATGGCTCACAAAGGTTAAATATTTATTACCTGGCCCTTTACAGAAAAAGTTTGCCTACCCTGACATTAAAAAAAAACACACACAAAAGAACGATAAACACAAAATTGAGGATAGGTATTACGAAAGCAGATGACAGAGTAAAGGAAGGGTATACCCTTCCTTTACTTGGCTTACAATGGCATCATTGCAATTCACTGGGCAGAAGAATGGTCTTCTCAATGAACAGTGAAGACCAACAGACTGCCCATATGGAAAAATGAGCTGAACTAACTTAACACCGTACCCATACTAATTCCTGATGAATAATGGTTTTCACTGTGAGAAATAAAACAATGTGGCTTCTACAAGAGAGAGAACCTGTTGCAAAGAGCAGAGTTGGCTAACAGCCTCACCTAACTACTGCCATACCTTCAGATCCACTGCAGTGTTCATAACAGCGCCAGTGACTGGAAACAGCAGAGGTACTGGAACTGAGCAATTTCTGTTTGACACGGCATCCTTAAGGAACAGTATTTGCTCTGGGGTTCCCCATTAGGCTGACAGACACTAGCCCTGATTGCAAGGCAGTATGAAGTGTGAGGTTTTTCCTAGTGAATTTTTCTTCTTTCTTTGTTCTCTCACAGATGCCAGACTTGCAATAAAATCTAAGGCTCTCCTTGTCTCTCCCTGTTCACTTTATTCTCTATCCCACGTCAGCTCTTCCTCTACTAAATCTCTTCCATTTTTACTTTCATCTTAGTACCTACTTCCCAGAAGACTTGAGCTGGCATAATTACCACTTTGAAAACCTTAATGAATTAAGAACTTAGCTATTGAACATCAATAGCTATAAAAATCACATACAGAAAAACTACAAGACTTATTTCTCTGAAGAAAAACACACACATCTGTCTAGTTTTGAGAAAAAAATGCATATACACACACACATATACACCCCCCACACACCATTTCTAGTTTTGCAACAAAATAAATACACACATACATAGCTCCTACATTCCACTTCTAGGCAAATAGGAACCATGCTTACCCTGATGCCTACAACAACCAAAAACCTAACTAAGTATACAAAAAAGCAGTTCTTGAACACCAGAAATCGGGCAGAATGGAGAGTGATCCCTGAAAGAGGGGAACCAAATAAGGTGAGCCATGCAATTATCCCAGCTAAACTGCCTCTGGAGTTTTCAGGGTGCAATGTGGGGAAACCCCGATGGAGCCCAGCAATCTCGCCAAGTTGAGAAGATAAAGCTGGGAGTCCAGGAGAGCAAAGTGTCTAGAATTCTCAGGGCAGAGTCATGGAGAGGATAGAATTGCACAAAAAGAGAGCTCCAGGGATCTGCAGAGGGTTCCCTGCACATCAGCCATTGAGTACTGATTAGCATTTGTCTATGAGGAAGCCCACCAAAAGCCAAGGAAAGAACAAATGAGAATGTGAGAATAATCTCTGTCTCTAATACAATGCCAGCAATAGTCCATGTTCCCACCAGCCGGAGAGGAAAATCTCGTAATTCAAGGGGCATCAGGAAGAGTACTCCGCAGGTCACTGCCCATAGTGGGCAAAATTAGCCCTATATTAAAAGCTGTTCTAGTGTCACCTTTAAAAGCTTAAACCTGGTGTCTGAGTGGCTCAGTTGGTCTCAGTCTCAAAGAGACTACCTTTGGCTCAGGTCATGATTCTGGAGTCCCAGGATTGAGTCTCTCATGGGGCTCCCTGATCAGTACGGAGTCTGCTTCTCCCTCTGACCCTCTCCCATCTCATGCTCTCTCTCTCTCTCTCAAATAAATAAATAAAAATCCTTAAAAAAAAAAAAAAAAAGCTTAAACCCAAACTTCAAAAAGATCAAACTACTCTCAAATACTTGTCTTAGTCTCAGAAAAAAAGACCTCAAGATAATTATAAAAAACACAATATATGCAGAACTAAAAAAAAAAAAAAAAGTATGATTCATACTGTCTGGGGACATCCAATAAAAAACAACCAGGCAGATAAAGAAGCAGATAAATACAATACATAAATGGAAAAATTACTCAATTGAAATCTCTCCATAAATAACTCAGATGATAGGATTATAAACAAGTGCATTAAAATAGTCATTTACATTCCATATGTTCAAGAAAGTAGAAGACCCAGCATGTTAAGTAGAGACATGAAATATATAAATAAAACAAAAGACCCAAATTGAACTGGTAGAGATAAAAACACTGTCTTATATAAAAAATACACTGGATGAGATTAGTGGCAGAAGATGACTAATGAATTTGAAACAAAGCAATATAAACCATCTATACATAAACACAGAAATAACTACAAAAAATTGAATAAAAAATGAGCAAAAAACTGCAGCATAACCTCAAGTGGCCTAATCTTTGCATAACTGGAGTCCTCAAAAAATAATATCTCAACATATAATGGCCAAAAAGTTTCCCAATTTTATGAAAACTATAAACTCTCAAATCTAAAAGACTCAACAAACCCCAATCAAAAGACACACTTAGAATTAGTTCAAGGCATACTATAATCAAATTGCTTGAAACTAGGAATGAAAGGAAAATCCCAAAAGCAGTTTGAAACTCACATAGTAAATATGAAAGAAAAAAAGTAAGAATGACAGCAGATTTCTAAAAACAGTGAAACCAGGCAATAGCGCAATGACATCATTAAAGCACTAAGGGGGAAAAAAAAAAAAACTATCAACTCAAAATTCTATAACCAGTAAAAACAAAAGTGAAACAAAGACTTCTTCAGGCATACAAAAGTCAAAATATCCATTCCTAGTGTACCTGAACTATCATAATGTTGAAGGGAGTACTTTCAGATGGAGCATACCAATGATATCAAATGGAAAACAACAAAAATGGTAACTACAGGGGTAAATTTAAAAGCCTTTTGTTGAGGAGCACCTATGCCCTGACTCCTGGTTTCAGCTCAGCTCGTGATCTCAAGGGTCATGGTATCACATCCCACATCAGGCTCTGCACTCAGCACAGAGTCTGCTTGAGATCTTTCTCCTTCTCCCACTCACGCTCTCTCTCTCTAAAATAAATAAATCTTAAAAAAAAAAAAAGCATTTTAATTACTTGAAACTCTTTAAAACACAATTGAAATAAATGGAATCCAAATTAAAAAGGAAACTGTAAAACTATATTCACAGATGACATAATCATATATGTATAAAAATTACAAGAAATTCACCAGGGCGGGGCACCTAGGTGGCTCAGTGGGTTTAAGCCTCTGCCTTCGGCTCAGGTCATGATCTCAGGGTCCTGGGATCGACCCCGCATCGGGCTCTCTATTCAGCAGGGAGCCTACTTCCTCCTCTCTCTGCCTGCCTCTCTGCTTACTTTCTCTCTGTCAAATAAATAAAATCTTTAAAAAAATAAAATGTGCCAAAGATTGCATCCAAAAATAAAATTAAAAAAAAAAGACAAGAAAAGAAAAGAAAAGAAATTCCCTGGGGCACCTGGGTGGCTCAGTTGGTTAGTTAAGTGTCTGCCTTCAACTCAGGTCATGATCCCAGGGTCCTGGGGTCAAGCCCTGCATTGGGCTCCCTGCTCAGTGGGGAGTCTGCTTCTCCTCATTCCTGCTCATGCTCCCTCTCACTCTCTCTCAAATAAATAGATAAAATATTTTAAAAAGGAAAGAAAATCACCAAAAACTATTAGATTCACATTAATAAGTGAATTTAGAAAGGTTCCAGGATACAAAATCAACAGACAAAATCAACTGTATTTCCATACACTAGCAATAAATAACAAAAAAAATAGAAATAAACTTAACAAAAAGAGTACAAGATACACCTCAAACTACAAAACATCGCTCAAAGAAATTAAAGAAGGTCTATGTAAATGAAAAGCTATCTCATATACCATATTCAAGGACTGGAAGAATTGATATTATTAAAGTACTCTCCAAATTTATCTGAAGATTTACTACAATTGCTATCAAAATTCAAGTTGACCCATGTGCAGAAATTGCCAAGGTGATTCTCTATGGAAATTCAAGGGATGCAGAATAGCCAAAATCTTAAAAAAGAAAATCAAACTCGGAGGACTTACATTTCTTGATTCCAAAAAATAATTCCAAATGGTAATGAACTTGGTATTGGCATAAAAATAGAAATGTTAATCAATGGAACAGAATTGAGAGTCCACAAATAAACATTTACATGTACATGATTAAGGGATTTTTAACAAGGGAAGAACAATCAAAAGGAAAGGAATAATTTTAACAAATAATGGTGGGACAAGTGGATATCCACAGGCAACAGAATAAATATGAGTCACCACATAACAAAAATTAAATCAAAATGGATCAAAGACTAAATGTAATACCTAAAACTATAAAACTCTTGGAAGAAATATTAGTGTATGAATTTGAGTCAGCACACAACAAAAATTAAACCAAAATGGATCAAAGACTAAATGTAATATCTAAAACTATAAAACTCTTGGAAGAAATATTAGTGTATGAATTTGAGTCAGCACACAACAAAAATTAAACCAAAATGGATCAAAGACTAAATGTAATACCTAAAACTATAAAACTCTTAGAAGAAAATATTAGTGTAAATCTTTAAGAACTTGAATTAGGCAATGATTTTTTAAATATGACAGCACAGCACGGGTAACAACTGAAAAAAATTGATAAACTGGACTTCGAAATTAAAACTCTCATGCTTCTAAGGACACCAATAAGAAAGTGAAAGACAATGCATTGAATGAGAGAAACTCTGCAGATCATATATAAGGGACCTGAAGATGCAATGTATAAAGAACTTTTAACTTTATTAGTAAGAAAACAAATCATTCAACTGAAAAGCATCTGAATTGACGTTTCTCTAAAGAACAAATATAAAAGGCCAAGAAGCACATAAAGAAATGATTATTCTTAGTCATTAGGGAAATATAAATCAAAATCACAGTGAGATACCATTTTATACTGACTATGATGGTTATAATGAAAAGGGTAGATATAAAGTGTTGGCGAGAATGTGGAGAAACTGGAATCCTCATTCTTAATACTGCTGGTAATATGTAATTTGGTATAGTCATTTTGGCAGTTCATCAAAAGCTTAAACAGAATTACTACATGACCCAGCAATTCTGCTTCTAGGCAAATACCCGACAGAACTGAAAACATACATCCACACAAAAACTCGTATGTGAAAGTTCATAGCAACATTATTTATGTAGCCAAAAAGCCTAACAACCCAAAGTCCTTCAACTGATGAATGGATAAATATATACTCAGCCATAAAAAGTAATGAAGTAATAATACATGATATCACATAAACCTTAAAATCATTATGCTAAATGAAAGAAGCCAGCCACAGAAGGCCACAAATTACAGGATTCCATTTTCACAAAATGCCCAGAATAGATCAATCTATAGAGACTAAAAAGTCGATTAGTGGTTGCTAGGGGCTGAGATGAATAGAAAATGTCAAGTGACTGCTAATGCATATGGAGTTTCTTTCTAGAGTCATGAAAATGTTCTGGAATTAGATTGTGGTGATGGATCCACAACTCTGTGAATATACAAAAAAAATGAATTATACATTTTAAAATGGTAAGTTTTTTGATATGCAAATTATAGGTAAATCTGAAAAAAAGTGTTGAAGCAAAAGTAATAATGTATTGGAAATTTACTTATAGAAGTAAAACGTATGACAATATCACAAAAGTCAAGACACAAACTGTTGAAAGGTCCTCAAAATCACAGTTAAAGTGGAAAATATAAGTTAAAATAGGCTGTGATAAGTTAAAGATGTATACTATAATTCTCAAAGGCAGTGAAAATAGCCCAAAAAATGACCCAATAGAATCATAAAAAAATACAGACTTAATAAAAAGAAGGCCATATATATTATATTGTTCAATATAAAATGCACAAACTATTTTATGAAAAACACTTGCAATTTTGATAAGATCTTGCAAATTCAACTACTATTTACGTCCCAGGGGGACATAAGTGGATACAATGGAAATCCAAGTAACAAAGTAGGCCTTTTGGGTAAGTCACAGTTAAATCCCATAGACTACTAAACATAACAATCAGTAACAAACTAGATATTGGAAATGTCCTCAAGAACATAAATCAGCACAAGGAAAAACATTCTCTATAGTGTTAAATAGTAAATACTTTGGCTTTGTGGACCAACAGCACTATGGTAGCAACTCTACCATTAGAACAGAAAAGCACCAATAATATTAAAAGAATAAGCAAGACTATGTTGCAATAAAACTTTAGTCACAAAATAGGCAGCAAAGAAACTGGGCCTATAGATCATAGATTGTCAAACCCTAACTTAACCTTAACAAAAAGTAAAGTAAAATCAACCTATCAGATAAGGACATGTAGCAAAGGAATGTATAGATACTAATACAAAGGCAAAGATGAAGGAGAAATCAATGACTGGGCTATAAAGAGTCTTTATAATATTTTTGAAGTGAAGGAAATAATAATAATGCAGGGGAGTTTTAACAAAGTTTCTTTCTTATATATAGAGGTTTATCCATCATCATCTAACAAATCCACAAGAACAAAAATTATAAAGCGCACTTAATAAAAGAAGAAACGGTGGTCAATTTGATTTACTAACTTGACAGAGATCACCATGTGGGTCTTTTGGGACACACTAAGGTAATCAATTTTTCTTAACTAAGGCTTAAGGCAAGCCTAGACATTTTAGAGCAAAACCTCTGAGTAATCTACATACTTTATATTCATACCATGTCAAGTATCCTAGGATCCTCTGTACCTTTTAAGATCGCTTGTAGATTATCTAAAGTTCTTTCAAAGACTCTTCTGCCCTTTTCTACCGGTAACTGGTCAGCATAGAAAAATCACTTATTGGTCCGCATGTATAAAGACTGGAGATCAGAGAAAAAAAGGGAAATTACTGACCTGTTCATCTACTGAATCTCCTGCACCTTTTAAAGACTCCACGGAGATTGACGTGGCAGTAACCCTGGAAGTCGGAAGTTTAACATCAGCTTTTGGACTTAACTTGTGTCTTGATCTGGTATTTCCTTCTGCAGAAATTCCTAAGGATTTCCATCAAACAAAATATCAAAATTATACTTTATTCTCCTAAACTTACCCCCATGAAGCTCTTCTCTGATATACCTCTTTATGGGACCTGACGGGGAAAACTCCCACTTTATAAACCTCATTTTAAAACTCTTAGTAAATAATGAATCATGAAAAGATTATGTTCTGAATACATTTAAGATTCAATTGAAATATTTTTTAAAAATGATACTGAAAATTCATAAGTCACATTAAAACTGATAAATTATAACATATAATATATACCTTAATATAGGGGAGATTAAAAATCTGATTTCTCACATAATTAGGGTACCTTCAATGGCTCAGTTTTACTATTGGTTTAGTAACAATCAGTAAGGTTTAAAAGAGTCTATCACATAAACCTTATATCAAGAAGTTCTCACATTTTTCTTTGAATTTAGGATATTATTTGTAATATAAAAAATAGGATCTCTTGCTCTTTAATAGATAAATAAAATGTTCTACAAATTAATCAAAAGCTGACTTGCCCAACCAGCCCCTAAAATCCTAAAATAAGGCAGTATTTCAAACCTTAGCAACGTCTAACCACATATTTATAAAAAAAAAAAATTAGTTTCCAATGGATTGTTCTGTATACAGTTATATCTACAAAGTGGTCCTACTGTTTTATTTTCTCGTAACACTTAGGAAGCCAAGGAAGCTTACCAAATTAATACAGAAAAATCATACCTGGAACATATACTACTGATTGTTCTTCATCAGAAACTATGAAGAAGGACATGAAGGAAAATACTAGAAAAGATCATCCAAACGCTGCCTCTATTCTGTACTTTCCTAATTTCTTTTGATCTGGGAATTTATAACAAACTTTAAAAACAAAACTAGAAAGGAATGCAAGTGAAATAAATGAAACAAAATTAGTAATCTTTTAAAAATCATCTTTACATAATCATAACTATGTTTTACAAAATTTTTGAAAGTCCTTGTTCCATAAAACTTTCATCCATGCCTATTCCCAAATTAGATACCCTACCCTATAAATTCTGTTAAGTTCCTTTCATTTCCTCTCCTTTTGTAAACAGGGAGTTAAATGCTCCAGTTTGTTTAATATTGGAAAACTGGTGAGTTATTTTAGACATGAATAAATAATTTCAAAATGAGCTTTAGCTTTGAAGAACAAACCCTCTTTGAGGGCAAGTCAATCAAAGATTTTCAACAAGTCAACACAAAGATTTTATTCTTCTGCAGTGCATTCATGAAATATCCCAAGAAGCCCTACTATTTAAAAAGTGGAAGAAATATAATTTCTTTTTTTAAAGAGGGAAGAGGGGGAGAGAGAGAGAGAGAATCTTAATCAAGCTCCCTGCCCATCGTGGAGCCCAAAGTGTGGCTTGATCTCACAACCCTGAGGTTATGATCTGAGAGGAAATCAAGAGTAGGAGGCTTAACGGGCGGATCCACTCAAGCCCCCCAACAAGTGGAAGAAATATAAGACAAAAAGAGCTATTTTGAATTTCAATAGAAATTTAGAAACGCTAAGATCATACCACTGTTATAGAAGAAGAACCAATATAAGAAAGTTTTCCTTTCAGAAAAAAAATTTTATTCAGAACTCTATCTAAATCCAGATACGTCCACAATTTGATAACATTCTATTACATTTCGAGGAAGTAAGTGTCTAAACAAATTTTTCCAAATGACTTAATAAATTCCAATTTTCTGTTCTTTTATAAAACGCTTTCTTTTCCAAAATTTCTAGACAAATTTATTAAAAATTCCCTTCCAGGTAAAGGCTAGAGTAAAACAGATTTAATAACATGTTCCAAAAGTCAATATATTTCAGTTCAGGACCAACCGTAGCTATGGAATCTTTACAAAGAGTGCTGATTATAAACACCTAGAATCCATCTAAGAATTTAGGAATAAAAAAATGGTGCTACTGTCTGAGTCACCAGGTGATTTCTAATAGCCCTCTGCAGCAGTACACATACTATCACAGATTCAGGATTTTGGCTGTTAAATAGTACTCTTAAACTTTAAATACACTCAGACATCAGGCATGGAGTTTAGAAAGTTTTAAGGGGCACATATGACAAATAAACAAACAAACAAAAATTAGAACCCATTAGTCCAAGGACACTGATAGTGGGTAACACTGGAGGAGAGAGAATTTATAAATTCACTGGCACGCAATCTAAAAAAAAAACATACAAAATGAAATTGTGCAGGCTCTTTAACAGCAAACATCAAGCCATTTTTTATATCCCTTGGGACCAGCAAACCTAGTAGGTGCTCAATAAATATTTAAATATTTACTGTTGGAGATATAGACATGGGAAAAGTTACCCAAGGGGGAAAAAATTCAAGATGATTCAGGACAGTCTCCATTTGGCAGCGTCCTCGATTAGAGGATACAGCAGTGATGAATTCGCAGAATAGTTTCCAAAGTTGACTTATGGAAAGACTAACATAACTGAATCCTGGGAAACATAGTACACTTGCCTAGAATAGTCAAAAAGAAGACTGCTCACAGCTGGAACAGAGCAGCCACTGAGAAGTCAACTCAGCTGCACCTAGATTTGGAAGCTCATCAGGTATTTTATTTTTTAAAAGATTTATTTTTTATTTGAGAGAGAGAGGGAGAAGGGGAGCAGGGATGAGGCACGGAGTAAAGGGAGAGACAGTCCAAGCTGACTCCGCATTGAGTACAGAGCCCTACGTGGGACTCCATCTTAGGACCCTGAGAAAACAACCTGAGCTGAAATCAAGAGTCAGATGCTTAACTGACTGCACCACCCAGGTGCCCCAAGAAACTCATCAAGTATTTTATACTTTCTGATACTACTTTGCCACTTATCTAAGAGAAACAAACTGTAGAGATCTTTCATAAGCTTTATTTGCAGATGACATAATATCACATATAGAAAATGTTAAAGACTTTACCAAAAAACCATTGGAATAAATGAATTCAGCCAAGCTGCAAGATACAAAATCAATATACAAAAATCTGTTGTGTTTCTATACATGAATAACAGAAAGTGAAATTAAGAAAACAATCCCGGGGCGCCTGGGTGGCTCAGTGGGTTAAAGCCTCTGCCTTCGGCTCAGGTCATGATCCCAGGGTCCTGGGATCAAGCCCCACATCAGACTCTCTGCTCAGCAGGGAGCCTGCTTCCTCCTCTCTCTCTCTCTCTGCCTGCTTCTCTGCCTACTTTTAATCTCTGTCTGTCAAATAAAATAAATAAAATCTTAAAAAAGAAAAGAAAAGAAAACAATCCCATTTACAATTGCATCAAAAAAGAATACCTAGAAATAAATTTAACCAAGAAGGTGAAAGACCTATACATTGAAAACTTTAAGACACTGATGAAAGAAACTAAAGACACAAATAGAAAGATATTCTGTGCTTATAAACTGGAATAATTAATATTGTTAAAATGTCTATACTGCCCAAAGCAATCTACAGATTCAGTGCAACCTCTATCAAAATTCCAATGCAATTTTTCACAGAAATAGAACAGTGCTAAAATTTGTACGGAACCACAAAAGAACCCAAATAGCCAAGGCATCTTAAGAATAAGGTAAAGCATCACACTTCCTAATTTCTAACCATATGGTACTAGCCTAAAAGAAGACACAAAGATCCCCATGATGGCTACCCTTTTCCTGCTTTTTCTTCATATCACCAATAATCACTGGACACACAACACATTTTACTTATTCACAGCCTCATCTCATCTCACTAAAATGTAAGCACCAGGTGGGTGAGGATTTTCCACTGGTTTTGTTCAATGTTTGTTATCAACTAACGTAAAAAAATGACAGGCTCATAGTCGACCATCTTTGAAAGAGTGAAAGTGATATTTAATTTTATGAGGTCCTGTCCAGCAACTATTTGGCGTTGTCTCTCTTTATCTTGCTGCGGTTCACAACCCATCACCCCAAGATGTGCCACTTTGGAATGTGGATTGTTTTGAGTTTTGAAAACAATCAAGGCCCAAAAGATTCATGAAGTAACTCTGACCTCCCCACGAATTGCCTACAAGAATTTGGATAGAGGGCCTGCTCACAAGAGGGGAGATATCACCATAACTAACTATAGTATAATAGAAACAAGAGGTGGTAGGGAGAAATTTAGCAAAGTATATTTGTTAAAATTTGTCTCTATGTCCCATTGTTTTCATATGGCCCAGAAAACATTTGTTTACTAAACATTTATTCCTTTTCATCTTCCTATGAATTGGCTTTCCTTTCCTTGAAAGTCCCAGACCCCTACTCCCGACTCCTTCATTCGGAATGACAAGCATAACTCATTTTGCTTCTCTTTGGAATCTCTCACATATATGTGGATTTGTCATATGTACCTAATTAAGTTTGATTTTTCTCCTCTTAATCTGTCCCATGTCATTTTAATTCTTAGACCAGTCAGAAGTTCCTTGAAGGGTAGAGGAACATTTCCAAAATACGAGGGCAAAACTCATGAGCTACATTCATGCTAAGAATCTTTTCAAATATAAAAATGCTAAATAAATGACCTTAACAAGAGTTTTTAAAAATAAGCCTAAAAATATTGAAATTGCCTCCATCCAACCCATCCTTTCTAATCATTTGTAATCTATCTTCATCTCACTATCTGAAAAACCCAAATATTTACTTTCTTCAAATACAAAGTTTAAAAAATATACAAACATATTTTATGGGAAAGTCAGAGACATACTATATACCAAATGTATATACTGGACCTCTCCTTGGGTTCTTGGTGCCCCCTCAGTTCTACTTTGGTATTTTTGGAAGTTCTTTACTAAGACAAGTACAAGCAAATTATAAAGCATCCTTGATGCTGGTACCAATCTCCAAATCCCCAGACTTAAGGCAGTAATTAGAAACCCAAGGTAGAAGCAATAGAGAGGAAGAATCATATCCACTCCAGATCATGAAGAGCTGAAGAAAATAAAAAACTTAGAACTGCACACTCTAACGTTCTGAGTTTCAATCACATACCAGCAACACATGTATACGTAATCATTACTGACCTGAGTAACCTTCCTGGCTAGTATACTATTTTAACATCAACATAAAGATTCTATTTTTAATTGAATAGTCAATGGCATGGATTATAGCTACTATGATGTTTTGACCAAATCCCTTATAATTCATATTTGTTAATATCAATTTAAAAATTCTGTTAATGTTAATAAGCTGGGGTGTATTTACCCAATCAACTACAGATACTGCAGAAACACTAAATTCTTTTCATATTACCAGGAGCTACAATGAAATAAGAAAGCAGTTTATGGCTGAAGGGGCATATTTTACTTGAAGATTTAACCATAAAATGACAAAATGGCATACTCATTTGTTTACCTATAAGGTATAAAAATACACCTTGTGCAAAAAAGCACTGCTGAATCATACTGTGCAGGCAATGCATAACTCATTAAGATAACAGTAAAAAAAGATGATGTTTAGTCACAGATGATCTGTCCTCACATGACAGAAACATCTAGGACTGGGAAATAACTCAATCACATTTCTCTAATTGCTTAGGCAAAGCACTGAAAATCTGTCTTTCAATAGCGTGAAAGGAATACCTGATTCTACGCACATACTTTCTAGTCTTTTACTATTGAAAGTTCTATATAAAGGCTACAGGGTGGTCTAGGAAGTCATCCGTGTTAACAGAAAAAGAGATCCAGATCCAGAGACACATGATTAAACCCAATGATTCATAACTATCCTTATGCTTTTTCTAGAAAAGATTCAATAGCAAATTTACATTTGACCTTGCTTTTGTGTTCTACGGACATTTCAAATGAAAATACCTGAGGCTGGATGATAATTGGTCATTATGTGGAATAGGTAATGCTAGTAACCTTGCAATTTATTTCAAATCGGAATTTCTATCAATCTAATCACCATTTCCCCCATATAATTTCAACTCCTCACTTTCAATGGGAAGATGAGTATTTCACATTAATTTTCAAAGTAAGGGAGAATGTAAGAGAAAAGAGAGGATGTAGGACTTCTATGCAAAATGAGAAATAACATGACCATATGAATAAGTGAGCATACAGGGCTGCTTCGACCAAGTGCACAGGTTCAGTTTATTCACCTATTAACTTAATCCATGCCACAGTAATACACTGCCCCCCTCCCCATTTATACCTATCAGAACAATTCCACTGGTCACAGATAAAGTTAAGGACTAATAACCAAACCACATAGGTGGTTATGAAAATGATTACACTACAAAAGCACTTTATAAGCTGATAACCTTCAAATATTTCCTCTATCACAAAATTCTATCATTGCAAGCACAGAATTTCATGAGAAGACTCATCCCAATTTCCTGACTTCCTAATTCAGCCCAATTCCCAATGCACATACTTTCTTTGCGTCCTTCCTGATATATAGGGAAAAAGATATTTAATGTGCACAGGGCATTAGTGTTTTCATCCACAGTCTATGTGCATGATTTTTATTTGACCATCACCCACCTATCAGAGACAAATGGTAATTATGTTTAGAAAGTGCCTAATACTAAACATTGAGCAGCAAGGAATGCAAAGATATCCCTCCCTCCACATGACACTGTAATCCTAGTACTGTAACTCAAAAAGGAAAACTGAGAATACAATTTTTTAAGTTTCACTGGGAGCTAAGTAGCGTGTGCAGACAATGATTCTGCCAAAGTTAAGAGCAATGCCTCAAATAATGCTGTCATCAATCCTAGCAAACAGACAAGACTTGCTCTGCACGCACGAGTACACGGATTGCCCTCCTTCACGTAACACTCCTCTAACGAAAGTGATGTAACTTACCAGGAAAAGAGCAGGCTGGGACAAACCTGAACCGGAGAACGAACCAGTTCTGTCACACATCTCAGCACAGTTACTGAACTGGGAACACCACCACAAGCATAAAAAGCTCCACAGCTTCTCCACCCCCCAAAACAACCCCAGAACTTCAATCCTGCCAGTGGTGACCCACAGTCCACCTGTAAATCAACACTACTTCCAGCAGCAAGGATTTGCAACGCTTTTTATTCCGTAACCAGCATCACCGGACCACGGTCAGCCCCACACTTCTCCGAAAATCCCAGCATGAAAGTAAATCATCACAGACAGGCCTTCGAAGTCTGAAAAGGTCCTGACTCGCTCCTAACCACGCAAACCAAGGACAGTCCTAAACCGAGACAAAAAGGCTCCCTGTCCAGTCAACACCCTTCCCTCCTCAGAGACTCAGCCGGCCTGAGGTCACCACGGTCAGAGGGACCCTCCCAGCCCCCCGCAGGGCCACGATTCTAGGCCATCTTTCTAAAGCTCACCGCCAAGGAGGGCCGGGAAACATCCCTGCTGAGTCCCCAAACCTAGTGCTCCAGGCTGGAGACAGAATCAGGCTCTCTGCTACCTAATACCCCAGCCAGGGAAAAGCCCGGCACCTACACGGCGGCCGGAAAGGACGGCCCCGCCCCCGCGGACAGCATCGAGCTTCGCTCCCCCACTCAGAGTCTCACGCGACCGCCCGCCGCTCGCCGCACCGGGGAGGGCGCCGGCGCCCCCTGCCAGGCGGGCAAAGGATACAGTCCCGACTCCAGAACGCTGTCGCGCCCCGGCGGGAGGGGCCCGCCACGTCCGCCATCTTGAAACAACCGCCACTCCGGGCGTCGCGCCGGGGCCGCCCCGCCCCGGCCTTCAGGCCCAGTCCCCATTGGCCGCACCGCGTAGAGGCCCGCCCCCGCTTGCGCGGTCGGCTGGGGCGGGGCGGTAGGGTCCCAGCGGACGAGTCGCTGTGTCTCGGTTGCGTGGTGTGGAGCGACCGCCCGGGCAGAGGGAACAAGTGTGCCGCGGAACTACTACTCCCAGAGCAGCCCGGGCCTCCCATCTCCGCCCCGCAGCGCTCTCAGGCACCAAGCACTACAATTCCCGGCATGCCGTGAACTCGATGGCCGAGCCTCTGGGGCGGCGTCCAGCCCTCCCGCCCGCCCCGCTCTCCCGCCCGGTCCCCGTCGCTGCGCCCCCCGCGCGCGGAGCGGGGACGCGAGCCATGGAGGAGACACCGCCCCCGGGCTGCAGCAAGCCGCACCTGGAGAAGCTGACCCTGGGGATCACCCGCATATTAGGTGAGCGGGGCGGGGAGCCGTGGAAAGAGACGGCTGAATGAGGGGATGTACACTAGACGCACGGAGGGGCGACGCGGTCGCTGTGTGCCAGTGGGCTTTGCTGCGGTGACTTCCGATGTTAAGGAGGAGAGGGCAGCCGGGTGCGTGACTAGGCCATAGGAGCGTTTGCGGGGAGTGCTCGGGCGTGGAGCTGGGAAGCCCAGAGGTCCCCGCCGCCCCCCACCAACCCAGTCCCACCCCAGGTCCCAGAAAGGACAAGCAAAGGTGCGCAAACTGGAGAGAGCAGGCACCTGACAGTGGGGACGTTAGGTTTCCCGAGAGGCATTCTTGGCCAGTGGAGTATCCTTGAAACGCAAACCTTCCTCTGGTAGCAGAGGGCGGGGGAACGCTGCACGCAGCCTCCCAGGGCAACAATTCCAACGCGCCTCCGGGGTACCGCACCCCAAGTGGCTGGAAGGAGTTGAGGCTTGAACCACTGAGTGGGTTAGTTTTTCCTTTACCGAACCATTAGTTAGCACCTGCTACTGTGTCACACTCGGGGGCTACAGAGATCGGGTGGGGAACCGAAACACAGTTCTGTGAAAAAATCCACAGCCTAGGTCCCCCCCAGAGGTGTGAAAGGCGACCGACCAGTAGTCCTCTATTATGGCTCTGAAACAGCACACAGAGGGAAGTGATGGACCTTCTTTGGGAGTCAGGGAGTTACCGTATACGTCCTACGGGAGAGGATGCTAGATTTTGAAAGACAAATTGAAGTTAACCAGATAACCAGGGAGAAAAAAGTAGCCTAAGTAGGCTGGGTGGCATGCTTTGATGCCTTCCTGTCACATTTATAATAAAACCCAAATTCTGTACTGCGATCCTTAAGTTCGTTATGATCTGCCCTCATCTGTCTTTCTGACCTATTTTTACCTTTTTTTTTTTTTTTTTTTTTTTTTTTTTGGTCCACAGTGGCCTCCTTGTACCATAAACTCAAAAAGCTTGTGCCTGCTTCAAAGCCTTTACTAGGCTAGGGGAAAAAAATCTGGAATTCTCTTTCCCTCACTTCCTTCAAATCTCTGATTAAATATCATTACCTCAGAGAAGCCTTAGACTATATTTCTAATAACACCTTTCTTTATTATTACCTTCCCTAGCCTTTATATTTTTTTCGAACTTTATGGCTTTATCACTCCTTGGAATTACTTATTTGGTTGCTTTTTTTAATTTGCCCATCTCTTCCGTAATAGAAGTCAATGAGTTTAGGAACTTTGTCTTGTTCTCCCTTGGTATTCCCCAGTGTTATAATAAATGCTGCTGTAAATGAGGATGAAACACCATTATATGTTTGGGAGAAATGATGAGCTTTAGAAATGAAGTTACAGAGTTGGGCAAGGAGAGATCTAATCATCCAGATCAACCATATCCTATCTCCTCATTAAAAAATATATTTCTTTTGATTAATGTGTAATCTACTTAAGACTGGACAACCAAATTTCCCTTAAGCTGTCAAATCAATTTAAAAACCTAAATAAATAACTATAAACATTTTAAATTTCCTTTAAACATTTAATATATTCTAATATTAAGCATTTCAGATGTCTGGCAAACTGGTAACACAAGGCAAAACCTACCCGGGGAATTAAACAACTCTGGTAATTAAGTTTATAGTGAAGCTGGCCTCCTGTAAACATTCTAATATTACTTATAAATTTAATCAAAACCTCATAATTTCAAGTTAATAATCATAAGTAAAAAATCAGTTATATATTTTTTTCACATTTGATTTTTGTTTTGAAAATATACATAGAGGATTTTTAAAAACAAGGTGGCTGAAGTCAGTGGTGGGTGTGTGGTAAGCAAACTACTACATCAAAATCTCCTCTCTAAATGATGCGTGAAATAACTCCATAACTATGACAATTCTATCGAAAACCAAGCCCAACACTACTTAAAATACAGAGAATGCCAGAAGTGCAAAATAACTATGAGTAAAAAGAGAAAAAACTACACATCCCAGCATTGTGCCTGCTCTACTCCTTCACTGCTAGAAGGCTCTGTGGCAAGCAAAGGCAGAGCCAGAAATGATGCCAGCAAAGAGGCTAGTTGAAGCAACAAAAAGTTTAAAACCACTCCAGTCTGAAAGTACAGCAGTACCTAACACTGGGTAGATCAGAGCAGGGCTGCAGGAAAGTGACTTCAAAGTAGGTACTGTTTAAAGGGTTGGCCATGCAATTTAAAGGGACATACATTCCAGAGGAGAAAATGTGCAAAAAAGAAGGAAGAGTCCTTTGACACTGATGATAAAAGGGCAAAGAAAAAGGAAAGCTCACATTTCTCTCCCCTACACAAAAAAACCTGCTAAAATATCTGGACTTTGCCTCAACTGACTGGAAAGGGTGTCATTAAAGTAGAGATCTTATTAAACACCACGATTTCACAAGATGAACAAGAGCAAAGTAGAACCTATAGAGAACTCATGCTAAAATCAGAAAATGAAATGCTGAACAATCAGCTGAGGAAAAAATTTTTTATGATAATGAAATGTTTTCCTCTCAGTGGAACAAGGAGTAAGGAAATGTTACATTTTGGTAACAGATGATTAAACATAGTGTGTAAGATCTACTTGAGATGCAACAAGATCAATTTCAGTTAACCTTTGAACAACACAGGTTTGAACTGTGTGGGTTCATTTAGACATGGATTTTTTTATAGTACAGTGGTATAAATGTATTTTCTCTTATGATTTTCTTAACATTTTCTTTTTTCTAGTTTATTGTAAGAACACAGTATATAATACATACAACATACAAAATATGTGTTAATCAACTGTTTATGTTATCAGTAAGGTTTCCCAGTAGGTTTTTGGAGAGCCAAAAGTTATACATGGATTTTCAACTTCATTTTCAACCCCTGCATTATTCAAGGTTCAACTGTATAATATCTCTCTCCATCTTAGACTTCTCTCCTTTTTAAAAAAAAAAAAAAAATTCTTTTTTTTAAGTCAATTTTTTCATCATGGTGAGTGTATTCTTTGATCCTTATCCTCTATTTCCCCCATTACCACACCTACCTCCCCATCAGTTCTCTGTAGTTAAGAGTCTTTTTCTAGGTTTGTCCTTTTTTCTTTCCTTCACTCTCTTGTTCTTAAATTCCATATATGAGTGAGATCATATGGTATTTGTCTTTCTTTGACTGATTTCACTTATCATGATACTCTCCAGCCCTGTCCATGTTGTTGAAAATGGCCACATTTCATTTTTAAGGGTTGAATAATATTCCATTGTATTTGTATACCACAACTTTATCCATTCATCAGTCAGTGGATGCTTGGGCTGCTTCCATAGTTTAACTGTTGTAAATAATGCTGCAGTAAACATAGGAGTGCATGTATCCATTTGAATTAGTGTTTTTGAATTCTTTGGGTAAATACCCAGTAGTGTGATTACTGGGTTGTGGGGTAGTTCTATTTTTAATTTTTTGAGGAACCTCTGTAATGTTTTCCATAGTGTCTGCACTGGTTTGCATTCCTACCAACAGAGCAAGAGAGTTCCTTTTTCTTCACGTCTTCACCAACACTTGTTTTTTCTTGTGTTTTTTATTTTAGCCATTGTGACAGGACTGAATTGATATCTCATTATAATTTTGATTTGCATTTCCCTGATGATAAGTGATGATGAGCATCTTTTCATGTATCTGTTAGCTATCTGTATGTCTTCTTTGGAGAAATGTCTCTTCATGTCTTCTGCCCATTTTATAATTGGATTATTTGGGTTTTGGAGTATAAAGTTTTATAAGGCATCTGCCTTTGACTCAGGTCATGATCCCAGAGTCCTGGGATCCAGTCCTACATTGGGATCCTTGCTCAGCAGGGAGCCTGGTTTTCCCTCTGCCTGCCACTCTCCTTGCTTGTGTGCTCACACTCTCTCTCTCTGACAAATAAATAAATAAAATCTCTAAAACTTAAATGTGGGAATTCAGGTGCGGGAAGGAAAAGCACAGTGAGTCAAGCCGTCAGTTCCCTGGGTTACCAAGGGCTTTTAAAAGTGGGAACTTCATGGGGTGCCTGGGTGGCTTAGTTGTTAAGCGTCTGTCTTCAGCTCAGGTCATGATCCAGGACCCTGGGATCAAGCCCTGCATCAGGCTCCCTGCTCTGCGGAAAGCCTGCTTCTCCCTCTCCCTCTTCCCCTGCTTGTTTTCCCTCTCTTGCTGTCTCTCTGTGTCAGATGAATGAATGAATGAATGAATGAATGAATGGAAGGAAGGAAAGGAGAAAAGAAAAGAAAAGAGGAAGAAACTTCACCGGGTGGGGTGTCCTGGTTCCTAGTTGTTTAGCTAGTAGTTGTGTTATACAGCTGGCAATTTATTTAAGATGGATGTATTTGAAATGGAAGGGTTGGCAATCAAAAGCTTCATGTCAGGTACTTATATTAAGTGTGTGTCCTCCAGCAACCCTAGACACTAGACTACCCTGTGGGTGTAGTCAGATGACATCATTATGCAACCAGCTGGGTTGTTAACAAAGAATTCTGTATTATTCTGTCCTACAAAAGTTGGAATAGTAGGCTGCTGAGACTGATTGAAGCTAGGCTCTGCATTTCCATAGGGTAATTGCTAAGGGGCATTGCTGAGAGGCACACAAAGACTATTGCACATAAACTCTTAACTAGACCCATACTTGGAGTAAGCCTCGCCCCTTGGCATGGCCTAGTCTCTCAGCCTCAATGTCCTTGCTATAAAATGTGAGTAATAACATTTCCTATTCACTGTCTTAGCTTTGGTGGAGCGTTGCCAAATGTCACCACCTCTGAAGGGATGGACAGCATCTTCCATCCTAACTAGTCAAGGGCATAGCAAGGGCTTAGCCCAGGTCTAACGGCTTGAAGCACATGGTATTTTTCCACCATAGTACCATGGTTCCCAATATCTTTAAAAGGACATTGAACAGAAGGCAGAAAAAAAATTATGTATATGGTACTTTTTGCTCTTCTAGAGCACCTTTACCTTTGCTGCTTCTGTTTCACTTTTCAAGGCAAATATTATAATTATTGTCTCTCTGAATGGTAAGAAAGGTGAAGACTCATCTAACAGTCACACTAGTGAATGCCTAAAGCAAGAGTAGAATATGTGGAGTTCAGAATTCTTAGCCTCCTGTATTGGGATGTTGCTATGTCTCAGGATCGGAACTTTGTGACAACTTGGAGGAAATTTATGATGCATAGAAAGGACACTAACATGATTATAGAATCAGTGAACCACACTGTGATATTCTGATTTATAAGAAATATATATTTGCTCACTCAGATGACAGCTGACCCTTGACAAAGCTTGATTAAGCTGCTGATTGCTCTCCCCATCCCCACACCAACATTGCAGTAGAGAATGTGTATATTAATAGCTTACAGTCGACTGGAAATCTTACCAATAACCAAGGTGATTAACACATTATTTTGTATGTTTTATGTTTTCTATAAGAAAATGTCATTAAGAAAATCATAAGAAAAAAATATATTTAACGGTACTGTATTGAAAAAAATAGGTGTTCAAGTGGACCCATGCAGTTCAAACCCATATCGTTCAGGGCATGGATGTTCAGGACAAAAAATGCGTATTTTGTCTTAGTCTGCAGTTCCTGACTTACAGCTCCCCAAACCCTGGAATTTCCCAAGTTTTGAGAGTGGTAAAGATCTTTCATTACGTTAATGAGGTGAGTTTCGAAAAGCACTAAAGGATGAGGGTTGATTGCCCCAAGATCCAACCATGTGATAAGAGGATTGGTATTTTTAGTCCCATTCCCTGACCTTTGGGAAGGGAAGAAGGTCTGAAGTCCTCACTGGCTGATGATTTAATTGATTGTGTCTATGTAATGAAGCCTTCATAAAAACGCAGAAACTTCCAGGTTGGTAAACACATGGAGATATGGGGAAAGTAGCCTGCCTAGAGAGGGAGAGGAAGCTCCGTGCCCCTTCCCACATACCTTGTCCTAAGTGTCATTCTTACTCTTCCATCTGGCTGTTTCTAGGTTATATTCTTTTATAATAAACCAGTAATCTAGTAAGTAAAATATTTCTCTGAATTCTGTGAGCCCCTCTGGCAAATTAATGGAACCTGAGGAGGGGGTCTTAGGATCCTCCTGACTTATAGCCACTTATAGTCAGTGAGAAGTATAGGTGATTGTCTGGGCTGTTGACTGGTGTCTGAAGTACAAGGAGAGAGGGGGTCTTGAGAAGCCCCAGTCTGTAGCAGGTCGGTGAGGAAGCAGAGGTATAAAACTGGACTCATCCCTTGTGTCTGAAGTGGGGAGGGTGGCAGTCTTCTAGACTGAGCCCATACTCTGTGGTATCTGATGCTGTTTCCTTGTAGGACACCAGGATATCTGAGAACTGCTTGTTGCCATGGGGAAGCCTCCTCACAAAAATATTGGAGGGGTTGGGTTCAGGAACCATTTTATACATTAAACTGGATGAGAAGTGTCTGCCTTATCCTTAGATATTTTAAAAATTCTTTTCAATACATTACCTGTTTACAGTATTATCGTAAATAACCAAAGTATGGTTCAAAATAGAATGTAATTAAGTATAAACATATGTGCGCTCTCTCACTCTCTGTCTCTCTCTTAAATAAATATTTTTAAAAAGCCACCTTGGTGGCTCAGTCGGTTAACCGTCTGCCTTTGGCTCAGGTCATGATCCCAGGGTCCTGGGACAGGTCTGGGATGGAGTCCCACATCGGGCTCCCTCTTCAGTGAGGAGTCTGCTTCTCCCTCTGCCCTTCCCCCTGCTTGTGCATGTGGTCCCTCTCTGTCTTTCTCCCTCTCAAATACAATCTTTAAAAAAAAAAAGCATAAACATATGTGGCCCCAGGCTTGCATGTGATGGGTTCAGATATTGGCAGAAGCAGAGATCATGGTGAACTAGAGTCATCTGAAATGGTTTCATGAAGTCGGTGGAACCTTAGCATAACCTTGAAGTATGGGTAGGGCTTGGGTAGGTGGACACGTTTGGGTGTGTGTGTATAATGGGAAAGGAATACAGCATAGTCAAAGGTAAGTACAGATTTCGTTCTGGAGGGAGGGCTCAGAGGTGGAGACAATGAGGAAAATGACACACCTGGAACAGAGGGTTTGGACTACAGGGTGGAAGAAGTTAAGACCAGACAGAGAAGGGCCTTATCCTCCAGACCACAAGGAAAACCCACTAGATCAGATAGGAAGCAAGCCTGGGTCTGAAGAAAGTCCTGTGCGGGTATGGCTGAGGATGGATCAGAGCACAGAGAGTTCCTGGCTTCGATTGCACCTACACTTGCAGTGACCATGGCGTAAAACAGTGGTGACAATGGGAATAATCTATGTGGTGTCTCAGGGAGAAAAGTGATAGGCTTTGTGCTAGTTCTCAATAGAATATACCACAAACCAGGTGCCTTAGAACAACAGACTTATTCTCACAGTCCTAGAGGCCAAAAGCCTCAGACCAAAGGGTTGGCCGTGTCACTCTTATTCTGAAACCTGGAAGAGAAGAACCTGCCTCGCCTCTTTTCTCACTTCTAGTGGTTTGCCAGCAGTCTTTAACTAAAATTCCTTGTATCACAGATCTGTTACTCCACTTCTCCATCTTCATGTGGCCCTCTTCCCTCTGTCTCTCCACAAAGCATTCTTTTTATAATGACACTGGTCATATTGGATTTGTGCCCACCCTACTCCACTGTGACCTCATCTTAGTGAATTCTATGTTCAATGACCTTCTTTCCAAATCAAGTCATATTCTGAGGAACAGCAGTTAGGACATCAACGTATATTTTTTGAAGGACACAGTTCAACACATAGCCGAGTTTATGTCTTAGATTAAGGATTTTAAAATCCTGAGTGTGGGTAAACAGACAACTGGAGAATGTAGGAGGAGGTATTAAAATCTGTTGAATTCCAAGTCAGGTGGCTTCTTTTTTACCTCAGAATGAATGCTAGAGCATAGCTCCACAAAGAGGTTATTAGGAAACCTTTTTCTGCTTTCAAGACTTTAGAGAAATGATTTATTTTGTTTTCACTATATTTCTGGATGGAATCCAGTTTTCATAGTGTTAGCCTATACTATACATCTGGGATCCCATAGAGTACAGATGGGTTTTATTTAGAAGAAAAACTAGGAAACAAGTTTTGTATCTTGTAAAAGTTTATTGAGGTGCTATTCTTTATTCCTTCTAACCATGTCGTAAGTGAGAAGTTGAGGTACAAAATCACTAGGAATGTAGAATCTCTGATTTTTGTTCAACAGTTGAAGTACCTAGCAGAGACTGAGTATAGTAGGTGTTCTGATGTTCTTTCTACCACGTTGATTGCGTGGTCCTAGGTTGTGGGACTGAGTGCCTTTGAAGGACTGACAGTTCTCCCTGTTTTTTATCACAGGGGTAATAAATGCTACTCAAAGGAATCTGATATTCCTAGGTACTCTCCAACAATCAGCCTCTAGTATTGAAATATGTGAGAGCACTTCCATTGCAACTCTACAGACTTTCTTTTCCTCTTCCAGAATCTTCCCCAGGTGTGACAGAGGTGACTATCATAGAGAAACCACCTGCTGAACGTCATATGATTTCTTCATGGGAACAAGTAAGTGTTGCCCTTTTGAATCCTCACATCCCCACAAAGAGAGCTCAACTCCCAACGGCCCTAAGAAGGAAAAATTAAGGCAGGAAACTTGTTCTTACCTCAGGCCACAGCTGCCTTTAGGGTAGAGTTCAACCTTCTTTCTCTTTCTATTCGGGCATTCCCTTCAATTCCATACCATTTCCCCAGCCTGGAGCATCTCCTCTGAGCCCCACTATTATTTGGAGGCAGTGGAACTTCAGAGTTGTATGCAACAGAGCTAAAAACCCAGCAAGGAAGGAAAAATTTAATATTAATAAGCATGCTGGGCAGAAGGTGAGTGTTACTGAGAATTACTAACCAGATTAATAGCTACTGCTTCCCCAGTGCCTCCTCTGAATTTGTATTTATTTATTCAGTACAAGTTTTAAGTTCCTAAAATGGAACCAGGCATTGTGATTGGTGTTGATTCCTGGGGATTCAGTGATAATCAAAAACCAGTTCCTTATCTCTTAATGTTACTAAGACATAGTGTAGATCGTTATGAGTATAATTAAGAAGAAGATTTAGCTCTGTGAGAGAGAGGCAAACAGCAAGCATCAGGAAGCTTGACCTAGTCTGGAGGTTAACGGTTTTTCCCAAAGAGATTAGGAGAAGTTGTTAACCAGGTAGATGGGATCTGGGAAGTGGGCTTTCAACCTGTGTAAAGGCTTTGAAATGATAAGGATTAAATTTTCCAAGAGCATAAAGCAGGTCCCTGTGACTGGTGCACAGGAGAGCAAGGGAGAGAGGTTGGCAAGGACCAGCACTGCTCTTTTGTGGGGGTGTGGGGAGGTGGGGTGGAGGGGGAGCAGTGGAAGAGAGAATCTTAAGTACATGGTGCTCGATCTCACAACCCTGAGTTCATGACTTGAGCTGAGATCAAGAGTTGGACACTTAATCAACTGAGCCACCCAGGTGCCCCTAAGCTTTTAGTTAACGTACAGTGCTATATCAGTTTCAGGTGTACAATTTAGTAATTTAACACTTTCATACATTACCCTGTGCTCATCACAAGTGCACTCCTTAATCCCCATCACCTATTTAACCTATCCCTTCCTCTCTGGTAATCATCAGTTTTTTCTCTATAATTAAGAATCTGTTTCTTGATTTGTCTCTCTCTTTTCTTTCCCCTTTGATCATTTGTTTTGTTTCTTAAATTCCACATATGAATGAAATTGTACGATATTTGTCTTTCTCTGACTTATTTCACTTAAGCATAATACACTCTAACTCCATCCATGTCCTTGCAAATGGGAAGATTTCATTCTTTTTTTATGGCTAATATTCCATTGTATGTATATGCCACATCTTGTTTATCCTTTTATCTATAGATGGAAACTTGGGCTGCTTCCTTATCTTGGCTATTGTAAATAACGCTATTATATAAATGTGGGGGTGTATGTATCCCTTTGAAATACTGTTTTTGTATTCTTTGGGTAAATACCCAATAGTGTGATTGCTGGTTTATAGGCTAGTTCTACTTTTATCTTTTTGAGGAACCTCCGAACTGTCTTCCACAGTGGCTGCACTGTTTTGCATTCCCACCAACAGTGCAAAGGGGTTCCTTTTTCTCCATATCCTTGCCAAACAACACCACCTGTTGTTTCTGTTGTTGATTTTAGCCATTCTGACAGGTGTGAGATGGTATCTCATTGTAGTTTTGATTTGCATTTCCCTGATGGCAAGTGATGATGAGGATCTTTTCATGTGCCTGTTGGCCACCTGTATGTTTTCTTTGGAAAAACATCTTTTACTCATTTTATAATTGTATTATTTGATTTTTGGATGTTGAGTTTGATAAATGCTTTCTATATTTGGGATACTAACCCTTTATCAGATATGTTATTTGCACATACTTTCTCCCATTCTGTAGCTTGTCTTTTAGTTGTTTTCTTTGCTATGCAGAAGTTTTTTATTTTTAAATAGTCCCAACACAAAAGTTTATTTTTGCTTTTGTTTCCCTTCAGGAGACATATCTAGAAAAAAGTTGCTTTGGCTGATGTCAAAGAAGTTACTGCTTGTGCTCTTTTCTAGGATTTTTATAGCTTCAGGTCTCACATTTAAGTCCTTAATCCATTTTTAATTTATTTTTGTGTACAGTATAAGAAAGTTCTTCCTTTTTTTTTCTTTTGCATGTCACTGTCCAGTTTTCCCAACACCATTTATTGAAGAGACTGTCTTTTTCGCATTGGATGTAATATTTCCTGCTTTGTCAAAGAGGGACCATATGGTTGTGGGTTTATTTTTGGGTTTCCTCTTCCATTTCTATTGATCGCTCTGTCTTTTTTCGTGCCAGCATCATACTGTTTTGATTACTACAGCTTGATAATATAACTTGAAGTCCAGAATTATGATGCCTCTAGCTCTGCTTTTCTTTTTCAAACCTGCTTTGGCTATTTGGGGTCTTTGTGGTACGGCACAAATTGTTTGTTCACAGTTCTGTGAAAAATGCTGTTCATATTTTGATCAGAATTATATTAAATCTGTAGATTGCTTTGGGTAGCATAGACAGTTTTAATGATATTTGTTCCTCCAGTCCATAAGAATGGAATGTTTTCCCATATGCATTGTCTTCAACTTCTTTCATCAGTGTTTTTGTTTTTGTTTTTGTTTTTAAAGAGAGAGAGAGCCTGCAAGCTGGGGCAGGGGCAGAGGGAGAGGGAGAATCCTCAAGCCAAGTCCCTGCTGGGCACAGAGTCCTACCCGGTGCTTAATCCCAGGACCCCGAAATCAAGAGTCACACACTGAACCGACTGAGCCACCCAGGCACCCCTCTTTCATCAGTGTTTTATAGTTTTCTGAGTACTAGTTTTTCACCTTGTTGGCTAGGTTTATTCCTAGGTATCTTATTATTTTTAGTGCAATTGGAAACAGGATTGTTTTGGGGGATTTTTTTTTTTTTTTAATGTATTGTTGGATTTGGTTTGCTAGTATTTTCTTTAGGATTTTTGCATCTATGTTCATCCAGGACATTGGCCTGTATGTCTCTTTAGTTATGTCTTTATCTGGTTTTGATATCATAGTACTGCTCGCTTTAAGGAATGAATTTGGAAATTTTCCTTCTCTTTCTATTGTTTGAGAAGAGTAAGTATTAACTCTTTAAATGTTTGGTAGAATTCACCTATGAAACCCTCTGGACCTGAACTTCTGGGGAGTGTTTTTAGCATTCAGTTTCTTCACTCGTTATTGGTCTGTTCAGATTTTCTATTTCTTCCTGTTTCCATTTTAGGAGTTTATATGTTCTAGGAATTTATCCATTTTCTTCTAGGTTGTCCAATTTGTTGGCATATAGTTTTTCATAATATTTTCTTATGATTGTTTGTATTTCTGTGGTGTTATTTCTTCTCTCTCATTTTTGATTTATTTGAATTCTTTTTCTTTTTTTCCTGATAAGTCTGGCCAGAGGCTTGTCAATTTTATTGTTTTGTTTTTTTGTTTTTTTTTTTCAAAGAACCAGCTCCTGGTTTTATTGAATTGCTTTCTTGTTTGTTGTTGTTGTTGTTGTTGTTGTTGTTGTTTTGGTGTCTATATCATTTATTTCTGCTCTAGGGTTTATTATTTTCTTCCTTCTGCTGCTCTTAGGCTTTGTTTGTTATTCTTTTCCAGTCTCATTTAGGTGTCAAGTTAGGTTGTTTGAGATTTTTCTTCTTGAGGTAGGCCTGTTTTGCTATAAACTTCCATCTTAGAACCACTTTTGCTGTATCCCAGAGGTTTTGGGCCATTGTATTTTCATTTTCATTTGTTTCCGCACACTTTTTTGATTTCTTGTTTGATTTCCTGGTTGACCTATTCATTGTTTAGTAGCATATTATTTAACTTCCGTGTGTGTGTGTGGTCCTTCCAGATTTTTTTCTTGTGGTTGACTTGTCGTTTCATAGCATTGTGGTCAGAAGATATGCATGGTATGATTTCAATTTCTGTTTTTAAGATTTTATTTGTTTGAGAGACGAGAGAGAGAAAGTGAGCACAAGCAGGGGTGGGGAGGGGCAGAGAAGAGGGAGAAGCAGACTCTCTGCTGAGCAGGGAGCCCACCACACAGGGCTTAATACCAGGACATGAGATCATGACCGAAGCTAAAGGCAGATGCTTAACCGACTGAGCCACGCAGGTGCCCCTGATTTCCATCTTCTTGAATTCGTTGAGGTAGTTTTGTGGGCTAATAGGTGACCTGTTCTGGAGAATGTTCTGTGTGCACTTGAGAAGAATGTGTATTTTGGTGTTTTAGAATGCAATGTTCTGAATATATTTGTTAAATCTATCTGTTGGAGTGTCATTCAAACCCACTGTTTTCTTGTTGATTTCTGTTTACATGATCTATCCATTGATGTAAGTGAGGTGTTAAAGTCCCCTAATAACATTATTATATGTTTGTTATTAACTGTTTTATGTATTTGGGTGTACTATGTTGGGTGCCTAAATATTTATAATTGTTATATCTTGATGGAATGTTACCTTTATTATGGTATAGTGTCCTTTTTTATCTTTTGTTACAGTCTTTGTTTTAAAGTAAATTTTGTCCAATATAAGTATTACTACTCCTGCTTTTTTTTTTTTTTTGACATGCACTTCTGTGACAGATGTTTCTCCATCCCCTCATTCTCAATCTGCAGGTGTCTAAAATGAGTTTCTTATATGGAGCGCATGGATGGCTCAGTAGGTTTAGTGTTTGCCTTTGGCTGAGGTCATGATCCCAGGGTCCTGGGACTGAGTCCTGCATTGGACTCCCTGCTCGGTGGGGAGTCTGCTTCTCACTCTGCCCCTTCCCACTGCAAATTCTCTCTCTCTCTCTCTCTCTCTCTCTCTCGCAAGAATAAATAAAATCTTTAAAAAAATAAAATGAGTCTCTTGTGGGTAGCATATAGATGGGTCTTGTGTTTTTATCCACTCTGTCACCCTTTATCTTTTGATGGGAGCATTTAGTCAAAGTAATTGTTGATAGATACATATTTATTGCTACTTTATTACTTGTGTTTGTTTCTGAA